AACTGCAATATGTACCAAAATTATAAAATTTGTTTCTCATCATCAGTGATTAAAATCAGGATCACTGCTCTAGCCTCGATACTCACAACCCTTGTGACAGATTAGAATTCAAATCTTAATGATCAATTTACAATTAACAAGATAGAAGTGAAACAAATTAAACCAACCATTATATATAACGAGACCCAATGGACTCCCATTGTTCCTCTTAATTACAAAACGCAAATCAAATTCACAATGGGCAGTGTTAGACATCAATCCACAAGCCTAGCAACCCAGTAAGTGACAATGACAGAAGAGAAAAAAAATAAGCACAGCCACATAGACCCTGCTTATGTACTATATAGTGTTCTTTTCAACTTGCAAGTATTGAGAGGCAACGACATAGCCCGGACTTGATCCCCCTCTGCAGCCAGCAGGGGTTTCCCCCTAGCCAGCGCTCTATCTTTCCAGAGCCCTTCCCCAGAAGACGTTTTAGATCCCACTGCATATCACACTGCAACGTTTTACTGCTGATTCTTCTAAGCGCCTGGGGAGACAGAACACTTCCTCCACTTTGATAAAGGAAAATCACAGCTACACCAGAGATATTTAAATATCCCCATTTACCTCCCTTAAAAACAAACCCTCCACTGTAATAAACTCTCAGAGTACTGGGGAATACAGATGAGACAGGATCTAAAGTTTATGTGAGCTTCAACTAAAATCAGCCAGACTGTTGGCCTGGTGCCAATTAAAAGCAAAATGAAATTAATTCTCTTGTCTGATGGTCAAAAACAAGCTATACAAAATGCACAAAGTTGGCAGTTCAATTTTAGTTTTAAAATGGAATATGCTGTTCACAAACCTTGGAGTTACAGACCTCACTACATGTGCAGTGTAGGATACACACTGTGCAGAAAGGACTGTGCTAATCACCGTGGAGGGCTTCCAGACAACAGAAGCAATAGTCATTGCCATAATGCAACTTACGGCCTACCTGGAGAGAAAACATGTACCACAGACACCAACACAGAGGTCCATTTCAAAACACTTTCACAGAGTGGCCTAGCATGAAGCTGGGGCAAAGAGTAAGAATGCACGGGGACAGAGAGCCCAGATTGTCAGCTTTCCTAGTGCTTCTGCATGGGCTTTAATTGAGCGCTTTGAATGGTTCGTTCTGGTTTGAACTCCTGCTGAGAATTTGCATTTCCAACCCAGATACACTGGATCCGAATCTAGAGTTTAACAAGATCCCCAGATGATTCTTATGTATGATAAATTTTGACAACACTGCTCGACTAGTGGTTCTCAGAATTGGTCCCTAACCAACAGTATTAGCATCACCTAGGAACTTTTTAGAAACGCAAATTCTCAACAGGGGTTTGAACCCCAAAGAACTGGTTGGAGTTCAAACCCTTGTTTCAATCAAATGACTAGATCTGTGAGTAAAAGAGATGATTTTAAATGGTAGGAGTTCATTTGTTTATATGGGATTTTGAAATGTCGCTAGCAAGGAAGGGGGTTAAAAAATTTTGTTTTAAATTATTGGTCAATAAAAAATAAATACACCTACTTTCATGAAAAGTTTTACTACAGTACCCTGAGAAAAACCTGAGTCAAAATTATCCCTATGGCTTAAAGAATTCTTTTCGACACTGAGTTTCCACAATGATAAAACCGTTGAAGATTCAAAAACTCCAAGATTTCCACACCTCAAAGTACAGGGGTAATTTTTTATTTCAAAAGTTTGGTATAGGGTAGGCAGAGCTATACTCTTGGAGGGCTTCTACATGGCTTAATAAGTTTACACTTTTTATTTTAAAAGATTAAAAAATTATTTCAAGTTTTATAGGTGGCTTCAAAGCAGAAGTTAATATTAAAATGGAATGTTAAATTTTGCATGAATAAGTCATTAAAAATGCCACAGACTTCATATAAGGAGACAGAGAGAAATAAGAAATTAGGGGTAAACAAACAAACAAAATCTTAAAGAACCCCTGAAAATCACAATTTATCCTATCTTTCTTGTAAGGCACACAAAATGCACCTTTTGCAAACACAAAATATTTTAGGGGCCCTTAAAAGTTGTAAAAGATCCCTGGGTGGCGCAAGTGGTTTGCGCTCAACTACTAACCTAAAGATTGGGGGTTTGAACCTACCCAGCAGCACCATGGCCTAAAGGCCTGGCAGTCTGCTTCCGTAAAGATTACAGCCAAGAAAACCCTATGAAGCAATTCTATTCTGTAACACATGGGATTGCCATGAGTCAGAATCAACTCAACTACAATGAGGTTTAAAAGTTTTAAAAATAAATGACAGTTACAATTTATAATTTATTGAGTGTTTACTACTTGCCAGTCCTTAGTTTTAAATCAATTTATAAAGTTTTAGTAGATGCCTATTTTAATTCTTTGGGTTTAGAAAACAAGGTGCCAGAGCATGACCTGAAACAAACCAAATCCATATTTTCCAATAATAGCTTGGTGAGGTGATATCAAAATTCTGATACCAGTCAAAACTCTTAAAACAATGCCATCCATGACAACAGTAACAGCTACTTTGTACTCCTCTGTGCCATGCATTGTGTATGCATATGTTTTTTTTTCTCATTCCCACAGGAATCCTGCAACATGGTGTTAGAAATCTTTCTAAAGATGGAGAAGCTGAGGTCTGGAGAGATTAGGCAATGTACACAAGGTTACATAGCTAAGAAGGAGAGCAAAATTCAAACCTAGTTCTTTCTCAGTTTCCAAATGTTCTTTACTGCACACTGACTGTCATCAAGAAACAGGCTGAAATCAGAACCAGATCAGGATGTAGGGAGTAGCACCAACACTGCTTGTTCCATTCATCCATCATTCATTTGTTCAATAAATATTGAACATCATCAATGAATCAGACATAAAGGAACACATTCAAGCAGTGGTTAGGAGCTACAGGAATCAAATTCAAGAAGAGCTGGAGAGGTGCTGAGGTTCATGTTCATTACATCTATCAAGTATGGTAAATTGATAGATCTAAAGCAAGAAAAAGAGGGCCTCCAGGCATAGGAGGAGCCCTGGTGGCACAGTACTTAAGAGCTTGGCTGATAACCAAAAGGTTGGCAATTTGAATCTACCAGCTGCTCCTTGGAAACCCTGTGGGGCAGTTCTTCTCTCTCCTATAGAGTCGTTTTGAGTCGGAATCATCTTGACAGCAACAGGTTTGGTTTTAGTTTTGGTTTAGGGGCAATAGGGTACAGGTTAACCCAGAGGCTCAGGTTAACCCTTACATGCAAAGTACACCTATTTCTCCACAAGAATTTAAAGATTAAATTTTCTTTCTCAAACTTTCCAGTCGTAACTACTTTAGCCTGGATTTTCTTTAGTGGTAAATGTCAAATATTGTAATGATGCTAAGAAAAATGAGAGGCTTTGAAACCAGAAATACCTAGGTTAGAATTCCAGCTCTGTCACTTACCAGTTATTTAAACACTCTGAGATTTGCTTTCTTCATCTGCGAAAGAAGATAATAATTCCCATCTCAGGCTGTTGTGAGAATTAAATAATATATACCAAGGAACGTAGCACCTTCATCTTTTTTATATGCTTCAATTTTTCTAATTATGGCTCCTTAGCAAGATAATTAATAATCATTCACAAGGCAAGCTTAAAGAATACATAATATTATAAACCTGAGATCAAAGTCATTTTTTTTCCCAAATTAAATAATTTGGTTGTTTGTTTCTAACAACTTACTTACTTTTGGATCTATGTGAGGCAAATGAAGTATTTCAAATATTTCTGGTTAGGAATAGCTACTAGTGATCTTTTATGAGGGTCTCCTTCATGACCAAAAAAAAAAAAAAAACGGTTTTCCTTACCAAATTTCCTAAAAATAATCTGGTGTTTTGGCACCCTGAGCTTTTCCCCCACCAAAACAAGAAATTCATTCAGTATCTGATAAGAACGTGTGTGTCGGAGCACTTTCTGGAAGGTTGCAGGAACCTCTGCCTCCTTGTGAGCAGAAAAACTCAGACTCACAAACTCTCTGATTCCCCAAAATATCAGGGATGAGGAGTCCATCAGCTAAGACAGCTTGTTGATGCAGGAACCCAAGACAGGGCTCAGAGTGATCAGATATGCTCTGGCCCTTCTGGAAATTCTTTCTGAATGAGATTCAGAAGTCATTAGTTTATTGGGTGACCCATAATGTTTGCTCTGTGTGGATCTAAGTAAGTTTCCGAGAAATGCATAAGTGAAGATACAGAGATTATTTTTCCATTAAATCCTCATGTAATGTGATATTTGACATCGACAAAGTTATGCGAATGTTCTTTTTACAATTCAATTCAAAGTGATTCTGCCCAATATCATTCATTTACAAAAGAGGAAACTACAGTCCATACAGATCAAATAAACCTGTCCAAGGCTACCCAGTTATTGTCAGAGCTGAGATGAGAACTCAGGCCTCTCATACTTTAGACTTTAAAATAATTTATTAATTGAGAGAATCTAACTATAAAATATGCAGGGAAAAAAAGCCATTAAGACCCCAAGCAATGGATTTATGAAAAAGCAGTGGATGTATAAAATGATCTACTTTCTTTTTTATATATACATATTTTGCTTATTCTCATTTTACCTAAAGACAGCTTTTGTGTGTTCATTGACAACTCTGATAATAAGTAAAAATGGCTTAACTGTCTCAGCACAAGATTTAAAACTGCTTGACTGATTTACCTACATCCCTTGTTAGAATAATTGCCATTTTGAACTTTGTTTTCTGAAATTTCATAGTTTTCAATTCTAACATTAAAAACAGTTAAATAATAGTATGCATACATAATCATAGAAAAGTATCAAGATGCCTGTATGGACAATTCAGAAAATGTTGATACAAAGAAAATATTTTCATAGAAAACTGATACCAACAGATACTTAATTTTGACATTAAGACTATAAAATAGTGGAAATACAAATTTTTAAGGAAAAATTACAGTACTCGTGCAAACAGTGCTATTGGATAATATTACCTACCTGCTTTTTTGAGAGATTTGTTCCAGTTTCTTGGCTAATGTACAGCACTCTTCCTTTAACTTTGTCAAAAATGTATTCTGGGAGGTCAGCAATGAATACTGTTCATTTTCTAGAAATAACAATAAACCCCCGCCAAGATAAGATATTTATGGTGGTAGCTCTGCAGTGCTTCCGTTTGTAGAGTGGTAAAAGCATGAAGACCACTATACATTTCCTATAAACCACTAGATTACTTTAATGTTCTAAGTCAAAGGTCCTCTCATCTGGCAAGACACTAAATCTTATGAGACATATATTTTCCTGATAATTACACAACTGAAACATTTTTGATCATACCAGGTTGGTGTAACATTTTAATAAATTGCCAAATACCCCAAGTGAAGTCATAGATGTTTGTATCTTTATAATATGCAAGATATTATAAACATATTTTCACAAATTTACTATACATGGTTTAAAAAGTGATCACAACCAGATAATTTTAAATCATTGAGGAACTCTCTTCTACCCTGTAATCCATGCTTTATGTTTCATATTTGCTCACATATTTCATTCCCTCCATCTTGCATATACTTCTGTAATTATGAAGGTGAGAGACGTAATTTTCCTTAGGCTGGATTCGTTGTCAGCAGCATGAGCTGCAATGAAGATCTGGTCAAAAAAACTGAAGAGAGATTGATGTTTTTAGTGTTCCTTAGGGGGTTTTAACTTTTAAATGCTCTTATCTACAGCACTCAGAGATTCTGTCCAAGACTCTTTGATCAGTGGGATCCTGTTAGCAGTGGGGGCAAACAGTAATCTATCCTGTAATTTCCTCCTTTTCTTTTTAGTGGAAAAACACTAAGTCTGATGAATTTTCATTTCTTCCAGCCAAAGGCTGTTAGAGGAAAATCTCCACTGAAAATGCGGGAAGGAATTCTGAGTCGATATGGCATGTTTACCTCTTTATAAGTGAATAGATTATTTAATAAATTTTATGTTAGCAATTTTTCACTTACAGGATAAGAGATCATTTTTTACTGTGTCATCAAATACAGTACACCTTAAATCATGTGGAAATTACCTTTAAGTGTCAGGTTAAACGAAGCCCTTTCTTTTCAAGATTAGCTAATGATTGGCAAAAAAGCATATAGCATACAAAGCAAAATAAATCAAGGCACTAAAATTAAGCAACATTTTTCTGGAAAAGACAGGATCAATTCAACTTTTGTTTTAATAGTACAATCAGCTTGGAGTATGTGGTGTGGAATTATAATGACTGACACTGTCTTGTTTTGACTAACGCTGTCTGTGAACACACAACTCAAAAGTGAAAGGCACTACACAATGCTCCGACTGAACAAATCAAACGGCCTGTTTTCAAAGTGCATTTTACTTTCAAATTAAAGGTAAAGAGTTACTGGCCAACTCCGTCTGCAGAATCGCGCCAATGTGATGAAAGATGGCAATTTTTAGCCAAGCTGCCAGCTGTGGTCAATGCCTTGTATTAGTGGATTTTAACAGCAGTTGTGAGAACTTGAAGAATGCAAAGGATTAAACATCACTCTCGATTGGGGTGGGGGAGGTGGGGAAATCATACAAATGCTAAAAATGTTCGAAGCTGCAAAGATTAAATAAAGGAACATATCAATTTGGAACCACTGAATTACATCCAGCTGCGACAGTGAATTAAGAACCGATTAATGGCTAAAGCTTTTCTCCAGTTTGGATGCTGAAGCAAACTCATTAGGCTTTTAGAGTAGCTATAATGTGTGTACTGTGGGAACTGTTCAGTGCTATTCAGGAGACTCTAACTGTAAGCTCAGAGCATTTCCCGCAGAGCTTCTGATGCTATTTTCTTTATATAACATGTGTGCCTGAAAACCCAGCCAAAAACAAGCCCTTTGTTTTTCTACTTTGTTGTGGTCTCTCTCAGCTTTACGTTTCTTGAACACAGGTAAATAAACTCATAATCCAGATGGTGCAACAGATGTGAGAGCAGCACTCTGAAATCAACAGACAGTGGGCAATACTTTCCATTTTCTCTTTTAAACGCTAACTAATATGTAATTCGGAATCTCCGGTGTAGTTAGCATCTGCTCCCTTCGGCCAGCCAAAGGTTACAGGTGTTCCTGATGTCATTTCACAGTAAGGCGTGGGCCTGGCTTGTGAGCGAGTGCCCAGGCTCTAATCTTTCCCTACCACCTACCAGTTTTGTCATGCTGGGCCTCCATTTGCTGTATCTTCTGTGTCAGCTCCTGCTCTCTTTGCTGGGCCTGAAGGGCTTGGGCCTTTGCTTCGTTGCTAAGGCTCTGCTGAATGCTATCTTTTTCCAGCCTACAAAACAGAGAGGAGACATACAGAAATTTAATCTGCAGGTGCACAACCCCCATTGTACCCCCTACAGGCCGCAGAGAGCTGAGATGTAGTAAATTGGTAAGAATAAGAAGCTAACAATCTTTTTACAGAGCTGTTTCAGAAGAGAAATCAAAGGACCTTTTCATGGAATGTTAAAGACACGCCATCAGTCCAAATGGACCAAAGTACACAGCTTTAAAAATTTAAAAAAATGTTACAACTAAATAATGGCATTTTATAACTTTAAAAAACAAGTGCCTTCTTCTGTAACATTAATATCTGTTTTGTACCAACATGCAGTCTTTAACCTTCTGAATGGTCAACATTTCTAAAGATCCTGGAGTAATAGGAAGAACATGACTCAATACACCAAAACTAAGATTTGAAGACCATCTTTGTTTTTCCTCCCAAACGTAATGTAGGAGACTCTATTTAGAGGCAAGTAAATGATTCCGCAGTGCCAAATGCATGTTTTCATTACATATTTTCAGACATTAGGCCATATACCATGAACATAAATATGAATAGGAAAATTAATAAACTCCCCCAGTTCTTGACAATAAAATCCCTTTTTGGGTCACGTCGAAAGAAAATGCTGGATTAATGTTGTCAGAGACAACGGCCCATCCCACTGTAATATAATATTAACCCCATCCCATTGGGTCAATATCCAATCACAGTGATTCCTAAAAGGAGAAATTTCCTAACAATAAGAACCTGAGAAATTCAAAGAACCTCATCGCTGGAAGCACTGTAGATACCGATGCTGTGTGCACACACGCATTATGTTGGTTCTTTATACTCTAAATATGGTTAAGTGATATGAGAGTTTCCTTCAATTAACTGACTAAGTTATTTCTAACTCCTGATCTCCTTGTGGGCATTTCTCATCCATGCTGCTTCAGTTTACTAATTGAGATATTTACTGCCTAGCCTTTGCCAAACTAAAAATAAACAATTCCATAAAGTTATCACTACTAGTCTATGTACCGCTGTGGAACTTCAATTCACTGGCTTCTAAATATAAAGCAACATAAGGAAAGCTGGCAATGAAATTGGTCAAGGCATGTAGTAATGTTGTAGTGCAAAATTCCAGAATGAAAATACACCCACACCTTGCTCAAATGGAATCATCAGGGGGCCATGCTAAATGTGAAATAAGGTCCCTCTGGGACTTCTAATAACACCATCTTGGATGTGGTCCAAGGTCTTGCCTCACACTCAGTTCCAAACTAATATATTACAACAAATGGCTAGTCATACTAGGCCACTTTTTGCCTCCCCAGTCACACCACGTATTTTCTGGTGGTGGATCTGTTGAACAGGTTGCTTCTTCCCTCCACCCCCCGGCACAATGTATACTACTCCTGTCAGACCTACCTTCAAAATTCATCCTCTCTCTCCTAAATTAACTATTCTTTCCTCAATTATCTCAATATATGCTGTGAACATGCTACTCAGACACAGTAATCACATTTTAGTTAGTGGATTACATGTGTGTCTTCTTCTGTCGTCTTTGTCTCTCTATACCCTGAACCTAGCTCAGTACTTGGCACATAGGAAGTGGACAGTGAACGTTTAATGAAGATATGGCCTTATACCCTTGCCATGGGAGGGGTGCTGGGCAGAGGAAGGCTGAAGTCTTTAAGTAAAGCTGGAGAATCTGCTCAAGTCTTATATGAGGAGGCAAAAACTATTACAGACATATTAGAAAATAAGAGTGCTTGGAAGAGAATAGCTCTAATGGCTTTGCTAGCCAGAGACCAGGCTGCCAAAGGGGTCTGCTTAAAGAAGCAGACTGTGGCATCTGAAACTGAGAAGCTATCTCCAAGTCGAACTCCTTAGCTAGAACAGGGAATATAGGTAGGAAGACCTGGGGCTCCAAGGACTCAAAAATCAGATGACCATGTCATGCACTGTCCAAAACGAATACCCACTTGAGGGTGAAAGGGGACACGATTAATAATCATACTGAGAAAACAGTCCTAAATTGGGGTTTACGGTTCCCTTACATAAAGGCGCTGTCAATCTCACCATCAATCTTTAAAATGAGAAGCTGCCTAATTACTGACACCCTAAATCTACTACAGGAAAAGAACTGCTGTTATATTGTAGTTCTCCATATAAGAACCCTCTACCAGTAACTGTTGAGTTATACATCAACTTAAGCTTCTTGAATCCTTCCTCAATTTCCACTCTGTTTAAGAAACAATACATTTTATATTTCATTGCTTAAAACCATGGCATATTCTTGCTCTCCTACCTCTTTTTTAGCCCCTTTCCTATTATGTAGCCCTCTCCTCTTGCAGGTTCTTTCTGACTTAATAGTCTTTTTATAAAACCTCTGAATGTTAGAATAAAAGGGAATCTCACATTTGTTTAATTCCACTTTATAGTTAAAAAAACCGAGAGCCATAAAGGATTAGAAATCTTCTCAAAGGTTTCATAGTCAGTGATTTAAAGGCAGAAGTGGGATTCAAAAATATCTTGATTTAGGGAACTCTATTTTACAACACTATAGAGGAAATAAAACAACAGATTGAAAGAATTGATAAAAAGCCACTTAGGTATCCAAGGAAGAGAAAAATCCAAATCAGTTCATTAAATATTTTTCATAGCTCTGTTATGGAAGACCCTCTGCTATGCACTGGGTTAAATAAAGATAAATAAGGCAAAGTCCTTGCCCTTAAGAGGTTTACAGTCTATTAAGGGATTAAAAATGGCCAAAATAGAATTCAGAAGGTGAAATACACCATAAGAAAGGTAGAAAGAAAAAAAAAAAAAAAAAACCCTACCCAAGCATAGAAACAAGCCAGTTGTCATCGAGTCGATTCTGACTCATGGCGACCCCATGTGTGTCAGAGTAGAACTGTGCTCTATAGAGTTTTCAATGGCTAATTTTTCAGAAGTAGATCACCAGCCCTTTCTTCTGAGGAGCCTCTACGTGGACTCAAACCTCCAACTTTTCAGTTAGCAGCCAAGCGCATTAACTGTTTGCACCACCCGGGACTCCAAGTATAGAAAATGGAGGTTAATTTCAGCTGGGTGCGAGAGCCTCATGAAGGCTAGCTAAGATAACTGAAAGATATTTCTTTCAGTCCTCACTGAAAACATCAATGACTTCATTTAACCAAATCTGTAATTAGCCCTATTTTAAGTTAGAGTAAAAGCAAAAGAGGTAAAGAAAAATGTCTTAGTAAATATTACAGTGGGGCTGAAGGATTTATTCATAAGAGTAAAAAACTGAAAACAACCCAAATATCCAACTGCTAAATGATCAACAAATTGTGGCACAGGCTTACAATGGAATCAATGGAATACTACTTATCAGGAAAAAAAGAATAAGCTGCGGACACAACACGCAGATGAACCTCAAAAGCAGTATGCTAAGTTAAAGAAGCCTGAACAAAATGCTGCATATTTTATGATTACACTTCTATGAAATTTTAGAAAAGCAAACACTAGAGTGACAGAAAGCAGAATTATTTTGCCAGGAACTGGAGGTAGAGGAAGGGGTTGACTACAAGGGACATGAGGGAACCTTTTGGGTTGATGGGAACGTTCAATATCATGATTATGATGTATACATTTGTCAAAACACATTGAATGGCACACTCAAAATTGCTGAATTTTCTTATATGCAAATTTACCTCAATGAAGCTGATCTTTAAAAAAGCAAGTGCACTAGAATAGGAACTTCCACCTTGTTCCTCAAGTTATCCCTATCACCTGTAATCCATGCATGTGTGGACCATGTCAGTGTTTTCTTTACAACAAAGAGTTAAAAACAGTGACCAAATACCAGGTAGGCCTCAAATATGGCTCAGTGCACATGGAGGTTTAGTCATTCCTGGTTTCCAATTGTACTTGTGGATGGTTGCATTTTCCAAAAACTGGTTGCAATGATATTTAACATCCTGTTAAAAAAAATGGAACGGAAGAATTAATTTTACATTTCTGATTCTCAACTCTTCCATATCATTTTTCATTTTAAAACTTGCTACTTTAAAAATATGCATGTTGCAGCACAAAAATGAATTATTAAACAGGTTTTTTAAAATCCATTTTCAATTTTATAGCTAGACTGAGGGACTGAGAGTTCCTGATGATCCCAAAGTTCAGCAATGAATCTGGGACAGAAATGATGAACGCCTCAAGCCTTGCTGAGTAAGGACCTGGTAGTGAAGGTGATTTGAGGCATCAAAGCTGCCTGCCACGTTTCTACTCACTTGTTTACTGATGTCTTAAGTTCTAGTATTAGACAGACAATCATTTTTGACTGAAAGGTGTTTCCTTTTTAAAGTATAATGCAGAGTTCTGGGAGCAGTTGCATATTAGTGTGATGAAATTTATCAGACCCTGTCATGGATTGAATTGTGTCCCCCAAAAATATGTGTTGTAAATCCTAACCTCTATGTCTACGGTTATAATCCCATTTAGGAATGGGTTGTCTCTGTCATGTTAATGAGGTAGGATTAGCATAGGGTGTGTTTTGAGTCAATCTCTTAAAAAATATAAAAAGAGCATATTAGGACAAGCAAGCAGGCAGAGACAGGGGAAGGGAGATGCCAAGCCACATGAAGACTGGCCAGGAGCAGAAGCTCAGACAAGGACCTTCCTCCAGAGTTGACAGAGAAAGAAAGGCTTTTCCTAGAGCCAGCACCCTCAATTCGGACTTCTAGCCTTCTAAACTGTGAGAAAATAAATTTCTGTTTGTTAAAGCTACTATTTGTGGTGTTTCTGTTACAGCAGCACTAGGTAACTAAGACAGACCCTTTTTAACATACTCACCAGCTGAGAACCATTCTTGATGGATTAGGGAGAGAAGTAGCAGGGAGGCACCGAGTCCTGTTGTGAGGTAAGGCCTATGATGTCCATTTGTTCCAATGTCGATGACATTAGCTTTGTTCACTGGTTAAAGTCAGTGGTGTGCTGGAATAATGTTTAATAAATAGTCTCCAGGGGGAAAAATCCCTGAT